TGAACTAACCAGGTGTCATCAAGCTGAAGTCAATGTGACTGAAGGAGTTGATGATGGTGAAGATGATATTCTTGTCTGGGGATGGGAAACTGCAGATGGGAAAGTGACGTCCTGGCAAACAGTTATACCGAGAAAGTTACGGGAAGTTGTGTTGCGTCAATCCCATGATAGTTTAACAGGAGGACACCCCGGAGTTAAGAAGACATTGAGTAACCACGACAGAGATTTTACTGGATAGGTATGAGACAAGATGTGGAAGAATGGTGCAGGATCTGCAGTACATGTGCTAAAAGGGGACCCAAGCATAAGGAACGTGCTCAAATGAAGTTATATCAAGTTGGCACACCAATGGGAAGAGTAGCTGTTGACATTGCTGGTCTTTTGCCCCGAACACGTGCTGGAAACAAGTAAATTTGTGTGGTGATGGATTATTTCACCAAGTGGAATGAGGCATATGCAATGCCAAATCAGGAAGCTATAACTGTAACTTCGGCTATTAGTGATTTCTTCTTCAGGTTTGGTATGCCATACGAACTGCATTCAGATCAAGGCTGTAACTCTAGTCTTACACTGCTAAATTAGTGACGGCTAGTGCAGATAGTCCTCGTGTAGCTTTGCACGAAATGCAAAACAAACAAATCTATGCTCAGTATAAAAGACAACAAGCAACAACAATAACTGACTTGATAGGCATTTTAGTATTAACATCTAGCAAGTCTCGAAAGGGTTTGAAAGACAATCAGGAGAGTTCAGAAACTGTTGTATCTCGTCGCCCCGCACGCAAAATTAAGGTTTAGTCCAATAGTGAGAATGAAAATTTAGCACCAACATTAGAAATTGAAAATCCAAATGGTCTTAAACAGAATTTAAGACTATTAAGCTTTTGACTTTTAATAGTTCTGGCATATCATGGGAGAGGTTTATAGTTAACTTTTGCTGCTAAGTCAACTGATGTGCCCACCTCAAGACATCGGAAAAGCCGTGCATGTGAATATCAGTGAAAAATGAAGGAAAGAGAGCTTCTTGAAGTCTGTACTTACTGCTTCATCTTAAGCTGTGTAGACCCAGAGCATAGAGATGAAGTGCAAATGGACATGGTATTGTTGAAACATGTGGTGTTAAAGAACAAGCAGTGGGGCCATGGCAAATTTAACCAGTTTAACACAACAAGAAAACTTATCTAGGTTTGTTAGTAACTTATACAGACAAAGAAGAGCATTTAATAGCTGATAAACCCATCAGCCAAACAATGATGGCCAGTCTTACGTCTTGGTTGCTTTTGAAATGTTCATTTAGAAACATGTTCATTTGATACTTGAATTCTGACATTATATACAGTTACCACAAAACAGTGGCCTCCAGGGAATGAAACTACACTGGAATAATATCACATGAGGTTGACCTCAATATAGAGCTCTCCAATGAGTGCAGCCATATTGGATGGTATCATAAATTATTACTATTTTATAACTTTTCAATCCATATTGGGTAATCTCATTTAAATTATTACTTACATACTACTCTTTTGACACTGGAACACGATGGATGACCTCCTTATTAATAGTTTACCCCTCTTCTGATACCAGAATATACCTTTACAAAACACATTACTAATAGTTATAAATTTGTTATGTTCTCAGGTAATAGAGCAAATCCTAATATTTTAACCACTCAGCACCATTTGTCAAGTTTTGTATAGGAGCCAGGATTCTTCATAGTAGGTGGCTGTGACTTGTTGGCGGTAAATTTCAACAATAAAAAGAAAGCACACAATCTACTTGTTTTAAAATAACATATATTCAAAACAAATCAAACCTATGCACATAAACTTTGTTACACTATTGTTTACCACAGTTGAATCTAGAGCTTTAATGTATTTTATCTTTTTCGTCAAAAGCCCACACAGGCTGGTTCAATTACTTTAGGATCCAACTGACAAGACGAATTATTCTTCTCTATCTCTGTTGTTACAATACAAACTGTGAAACTCACTTCAAAATCATCACAATAACTGTTGGTTACCAGTGTTGTATACAGAACTTTAAGTAATTGTCTCATTTCCGTCAAAATCCACATCGCTGGGTTCAATTACTTTAGAATACTCTTTAACAAGACAAATTCCTCTTCTTTATATTTGTTTTTACAATACAAATTGTGAAATTCACTTTAGAAATCGCCCATTATGGCTAAATTCACACAGTCTAAGTTCACTTTTACTTTCATTAACTTCCTTTCCCTTCACTAACTTAACTTATTTACTCTCTCTACCTGCACATATTTATAACAAACGACAGAAAAATCTAGAAATATCTAGCACTCTAGTAACAACAATATTAAACATAAGAAGAAAAACTTAGAAGCGTTGAGTAAGATGACGTCTACAGCAATTAAACTGCATACACAACGTACGACTCGTACAGAGCTATGCAATGAAACTATCGCTTTTAGAATAATTAACTTTTAACACTCTTTTTATGAAAACTAAATAATCATTAAATATTGAATCATTAAATAAACTAAATAATAACTCTTAAACTGAAGAGTCTTGTATATCCAACACCATGACTTAGTTACTTCCCATGCTTTTCGCACTAAAACCTGTTTGATGATTCAAAATCCTCGTGTACAGGTGAATTTTAATATAAAAATTATTAGGGAAAGGCTCCTCCATGACTGTTAGACGAGTGTAGTTTAAAGCTAAACCACTACACAATGATCACTATTGTACAGAGGAAAAACAAAATGTGTGTTTACGAGGCTTTCCTGGTGCTAGAGACATGCACTTAATCTAGCATTTTTAGGAGTCACAAAGAAGTATTCCTGTTCTTTTTTTACGTATTACTTAATGAATGCATCATTATTAATCGAAATTTATCTCCAGTAAACGTTTCAGCAAATGTTTAAAATTTTTAACAGCTTCCACCTCATCATAATCATCTACAAATATTAATTTTTGTATGGTTTACATGACGGATTTGTAAACTGTATCCTGCTTAAGTTGTTGACAGAATGTTAATTTTTTACTTATTAATTTATCTTATTACTTAGGAAAAGGCTTTGTTATACCAACTATTCAATTTTACTCAGTGTTTTTCGCTTAAATACCAGATTGTGTTCTTACTTCTGTTCTAATATCAGGAACTAGGGCCTGTAAATGCACATCAAACCATGAAATATCTTTTGAAATACCCATTTGTTTCCACTTGCTACTTTTGCATTACATTTCTTATTTTGAGGGACATCATCTTCATCAGACCTATTACTTTCTTTTGAACTATTAACACCGGGAGTATTATATGTGGAGGCTCAATTCTTGAATTCGTTCTTACTAGAAACATCATCCACACAAAAGATATATTTTCCATCAGTTTGCCAAACATAATTTCTTTAGTTGAACCTTTTGCATTCTGGTTGTCATCCACAATGGAGCTGTCTTCCTCTTCTTTCATTCCATGCATCATTTTTTTCGCGCTTTCGCAGTTAAATCTTGAGTAAAACACACTACAATTTGGAGAATATTTTCGTTTGCTAATTTTAATGTTCAATGACTAAAAGGAGAGATGAGAGTCATATTTATACTCCTAGTAAATTACACTCATATTCATGAGTTGCTCATAACCATTTTTAGTTACTTATAAAATACTCTAAAGATGATGATTTAACTAAGACTAGTTATAGGTAGTGTTGAGTATATTCATCACTAATAAAAAAATGTGAGATCACCTACAGTTTGTACTTATGAATTGAAGCTAAGTAATATTCCCTTTTCCGTTAATTTCAAGCTTAAAACTATCACGTATTCATTAACAGTCAGTAATAAAGTATCTTAACCCAAACATTCCATTGATTAACGTAACATTAAGTTGTTTTCTTTGCAACTAAGTTTTCCATAATTATTTTCCTAATGGCAAAAAACAAACAAACAAAAACAAATAAACGTGGACATCAGCTTTACCAGTGACACCTTATTCTTTACTCTGACGCACTAGTTGTTTGCTATCTTCTCCAGATGATGAAATCCACAAGTTCAGTGACGGAAATTTTGATTATTGGTCTATGTGCTTGTTAAGATTCTGTGTCACTCGTCCCATGATTACCACACTTCCCGATTCAAGCATAAAGCCAGTAACATTCTTCATGATATTATTACAGCCACAATGTTGGTCTTGGCGAAGAAGATCTACAAAGTGCAGGTATGTTTACCCATACATTCCACAATAGACCTACACACGACCACACCAGCCCTAAGTCTGAACTAACTTAACTCCAAACCCAATGACAGAGAACTAAGAAGGTTATGTAACAGCAGAAACATGCTGTGGGAGGCATATCAGGTTCGGTTCGAATTCATTTCTAAAGTGAATGGATGGAGTAGTGAGTAACAGGCCTTTCATTCTTGCTACTTATTTAGAAGGGCAGGCTAATTAACAGCATTAAATAATTTTTCAGGCAAGAGTCATAACAACTACTAAGCATAGGTGGCCACCTTATCAAAGACATTTGAGTTGTTACACCAGAAAAGAATAAAAAGCGTTTCAAGTCCAAGGTAGGAGTAGAGTAAGGTTCAAGTACAAAATCTTAGCAAACTTTGCAGAAAATGTGAAAAGACTTGCCCAACTATATTACATAAATTATCCATATAAAATTATGGATTCATTGGCATGTGACCAATTCATAGATGCTAAGGTGGATGAGGCAAATTAGGCGAACAAAGTAATTATATTTATTTATATGAAGATATCCAGTTGTTGATGGAACTTGAATTCATTAAAGTCGGAGATAATCAACTATAGGCCCCATACAGAAGTTACAGAATCATCAGATGAAATAGTACGGAAACATCAACTTCCTTTGATGTTACTATAGAAAAAATAACATCATGGAAGAAGTGAACCACAATAAAATAGGTGTTTCAACTGTAATCTAAATGGACATATTACTAGGAATTGCAGTCAAAAGCCTGTTAGGAATAAAAACTCCTCTCAAAGGGTAATTGTTATAAGTGATCGAAATATGGTCATTATAGGTGAGACTGTGTTACATAAGAGATGATGAAAATCAAAGCGGCATTACGTTAAGGATGCGTCCCAGAGCTCAACCAGACCAAAGGAACTGCTAAGAGCTAGCCAGACATAGGTAAATAGGCATTTTACATAAGGGGTGAAGTTCAGCTGAGAATACTTAATCTACCCCAGTTATGATAAGAAGTTCAATATTTAAAGAAACCAGTCCTTAAGTCAATGGATTCATTAATAGGAACTCTTGCAACGTCCAACAGTTTTACAGATATAATTATTCCTGATATGATAATGAATGTTAAGAAATTGCTTCCAGAGATGAAGAAAGAAAACTGGTTGATGCAAACAGTGCGTGTACATAAAGTTCTAGAACGATAAAAGTTGGAAGTTACCCTCACCATGGGAAGCTTCTCTACACATTATATATGGGTAATTGACATCAAGAAGGAGTGCATATTGGGAATATACTTCATGCAGAAACAAGGATGTGAGGTTCGATTTGCTTCAAACAGTTTCCAGTCTATGATCAGGAAATCCCTGCGCACTGTGTGACAATTATATCACTATAGATTGAACTTGCAGTGACAAGAAGAAATATAATACTCATATTAAAACCTATTAGGAATAAATTTAAACCTAGTTACTGGGGCATAGTAGAACCAAACACTTTAGCATGTTATGAAGGATCATTGGTTGGAAGAACTCTTAAGGATCTGAAGAATAAACATGTCAGAATTAGGGCGAAGAACACAACAAATCAAGAAATTTTAGTCAAGTACAGATGGAACATAGCAAGATGTGAAGCTTTACAGGAATACAACGACATCAAACAACATAAAGAATAGTCACCTTTGAAACAAGTTGTAGGAAGTTTCATGTTAAAGACAGCTCACTTAGTAAAGCTGTGTTACTGGAGGTGTGAAAGTCTTATAGCTGTTCAATGCTATAGATTACGTGTCCTGCTCATGAATTCCAAAATAAGTTCTCTGGAGAACCTCATAAGTTACGCTGGATGAACAAAATATCTCATAGGATTGATACTGGAGGTGCAGTGGGAGCAGCAGTGTCATTGCAAGTACAAGATGTAAAGGAACGTGATTTGTTATTTTAAATTAAGGACAGATGTATAGTCACGAGACATTAGTGAGTATGAACTTAGAGTGAAGGGTTGTTTCCTGATTGTTAATAAAATCATGATAGTTTAATGTTTGAAACTAACGGCAAATCAGGACATTCCTTAGTTTCAATTGATTGGGAAAAAATGTAGAGTAAATATCATGTATTTTGTATATTTTGGTAATGTTAAATATATCCACATTGCGTATGATTTGTTCTTAGGTAAATACTTTTGCTTTAAAATATTCTATAAATAACTAACCTCACTCGTGAACAAATCATGAATATGATGTGTAACTTGCACTAATCACGAGTAACCGAACAGCTCATGCTCATCAATCCCAGGAGTATAAAAGTGACTCGCAACCCTCTGTTTAAGCATTGGAGGGTATGTATTAATTATCTTACTACAAAATTTAGTTGTAAAAAAGCATGAAACGATTATACATGTAATAGAAAAGAAGGAAAAAACATCCATTGAAGTTTATATTTAGAATGAATATGGTTCAAATTAAAAATATATCTTTGGCCCTGTCCATACTGATGATGACTCTCAAAATAAGAAATGTAATACAAAAGTAGCTTGTGGTGACATCTACAGGTCTTAGCTGTTGATACAAAAATAGAAGGAAGAACACAAATTGACAAGTTGAGCAAAGCTAACTGGTTGGTTTACCAAGAACTCTTGCTATATATTGAAAATGCAGAGAAAAATATCTAAACAAAGATTGGCACTCTATCAATAACTTAGATATGACCCTTTGCACAATCTGAACGTTGCAACAAAACAAAAATTAATAAACTAAGATAATGAGCTGGAAGTTATTTAAAATTAGGTGTGAACAAATAGCACATTTGCTTTATCATTTGCTATAGAAAAACTTATTTTCATTTTTATCTACTCATTAACTAATAAATTAAATAAGAATACAAATAGTCGTGAATAGCTTGTAAAAACGCCAGATTATGAATTCATATACTATATATGCTCGAACAAAAAATTCAGATTAAATGCAGGTGATGAGTCTAAATATCCCTGGTGCAGGAAAAAGCATCGAAACATTAGGCCCGACGAAGGCGAAATCCTTGTAAACTTCAATGGTGGTCATTTTGGTTTTCTCTGTAATTTGTAGGCCTGTAACCATGGATGGAGAGTCTAGTAGAATCCCACCATTTAAGAAGGATCAACCAAATTGATCTCTTACTCAGGTTAATGTTAAAATCGGACACCATTAAACTATGATTTGTAATTTGCGTGGTTACCAACAGTAATGATGTTATTTAGAAAATACTAGAATACTGCAAAGTTTAAACTAATGAAATAATGAAAAATTAGAAAATACTAGGAATACTGCAAAGTTTAAACTAATGAATTAATGAAAAATTAGAAAATACTAGGAATACTGCAAAGTTTAAACTAATGAATTAATGAAAAATTAGAAAATACTAGGAATACTGCAAAGTTTAAACTAATGAAATAATGAAAACCCCAAAATGATTGTTTTTAAAAACTTGTTAACCAAAATAGTTCATCCAATTAGTTCATGTTTCTATTTTCTAATACGTTGATAAAATACAGTTTACCTACATAAAACCTCATTAGTGCTTTATGCTTGCTTGATAACATAAGTTAAAAAAGACACTTGATTTTGGGGAAAGAACCCAAACTGTTATTCTCTGGATATGGGCCTGCTTTGGTGATGGTTGTCTACCCACAGTACCCCAGTTTTGATACTGTGTTAAGCATGAATGACTATACGAAAGGACGATGCATTGACGACTTTAAAGTAAAGTCGTCCAACAGTCAGAGAGGGGAATTTCCCAATTCATTGTGTATTAAATTCAATGAATCAGGAAGAACTTTTCCATGAATTGCTCAATCATCAAAAAGGTTAACACTTTTTATAACTCTAGAGGAATAGTAACTAATGCATGATGATTAATTCAAAAATAAAATAACAACAATTTTCCCAATAGGCAAATTCATTATGAATTAGGAATTACATTCAGTTTGTAATAATTAACAGGCCCCTCACGAGCCAGTGGGAGACATTTTTTGTGGAAAAATGATAATAAAAAACTACCCAATTCGTTTTTTTTAATTTGAACTGAAATTTTTGGGCATTTTTATTGGCTAAAAAGAAGGCATTTCCCGCACTTTATTAGCGTTGGGGCTGTGAAAAGTGATTTGAAGTGGTAAAGTGACTGAAATCCATCAGCACATTAAGAGCTTAATGGCCAAGCACAAGAAGCATGAAGGGTATCCAAATGACACGCAGAGGTATTCAGGAACCGTTTAGAACCACCTTGGTAGATATTGTGCATCAAGCCGAATACAATATGATGCCTGTAGCTACTTTCAAGGTGTTCCTGTCTGCTCATCTTACTGCTGACTATCGTGATGCTTTGACCTTCCCTACTGAATCGCAGGTGAAATCGTTCGTATCTCAATTGAAAGCTAGATATAAAAAGGTGATAGCAGAAGCATAAAAGGTTGGCAACTGCTTAATTATTTTGCTGAAAATGTGGCTTTGTTGATATATACTGAATTTACTCCCAGCGGATAGACCTTAGTACTAGCTAGTATGGAGACTTGATGATGCTGTATTTCACTTAAAAGTTTATCAATTAACAAACGAAAACTTGTCTTGAAGTTGTCTCAAAAAATACGTCCAAAACCACCCTCTCTGAGAGTTTCCGGATATAACTTACTTTTATTATTCAACAAAGTGTAGTGTAAAGACACCCCTTGGCTCCTGAGGGACGTATTAAAAAGCAGTTGCTATTGTAAAAGTTACTGCAACTTTATTTTTGAACTAATTATTCAGTTCATTCGGTTACTCACTAAACATTAATTAATTCATGATATGTTTTAATTTAACGGATTAGGGCTTGCTCTATTTCGTGAGAACATTATGAGTCCTTAAATATTAGGCCGTCAAGAAATTAATGTCGCTTTTTTTTAGATGAAAAAACCCGAACAACTTATATATCAAAACAAAATATTTATTAAATGAAACAGTCTCCATTCTTATCGATGAGGCTTTTCCATCTTACAAACAGGTTGTTAATGCCCTGATTAAAGAAACCACTTGGCTTTGAAGAAAAAACATGTCGATGTCCTCTTTAACACCTTCCACATTTGCATACGTTTTCTCATTAAGATGGTGTTGCAGCGAACGAAAATATTGGTAATCTGATGGTGACATATCTGGAGAATATGGTGGGTGGGGGAGAACTTCCCAACCCAACTCCATAATCTTGTGTTGCGTCAAACGTGCAACATGTGAACGTGCATTGTCATGGAGAAGAACATCTTTCCAATTGACGAGTGAAGGGCATTTCTGATGCAGGGCTTGATTTAAATGTTCCAGTTGCTGACCATAGATCTCTGCGTCTCGCTGTGGATTGAGGAATTTGAAATGAAT